GGGTAAAAATGGGAGTTCATAACCCACTTGAATCTAATGTATGAAATATGATATGTCAAGAGCTTTGTAATGTTTTGAACAACCAATAAAAAATAAAAAATAAAAATAAAAAAAGAAAATATTATCCTTATCTCCGAGTAGGGAAGAATTTATTAAAAATAAGGCAAGGTAGTAGTCAAAAATGAAAATATTGGTAAATTCAGCTGCATTAAAATCAAGAGCCACTACAACAAGTCAAGTGAAAGGACAAAGAGAAGATGTTTTCCAGGTTATAACTTGAAAGACTGGAATCAACTACATAAAGAACTGTGAATGAGGAAAAGACAAACTCATTAAAAATAGTGACTAGAGTTTTCATGCACAAATAGAATGTTAATACTTTTTTTTTTCCTTTTTGGTATCAGGGATTGAACTCAGGGGTGCTTAACCACTGAGCCACATCTCTAGCTCTTTAAAAAAATGTATTTTTTTTTAATTTAAAAAAATTTTTAAATTTTGAAATTGGGTCTTAAGTTGCTTGGGGCCTTGCCTCACTAAGTTGCTGAGGCTGGCTATGATTTTACCATACTTCTGCCTCAGCCTTCCGATCCCCTGGGATTATAGGCATGTGTCACCACATCAGGCTTAGAAGGTTAATACTTACGTGCTGGGACAAGTAAAAGTTTAAGTGTAATTTCACATATGCAGATAAAAATACACAATGGTAGTAGAAGACACAATAATAAATGTCTGAAAATTGCATTTTATTTGGCTACCATCTTTATGTATCATTTCTATATAAATTATAATTTGAAGGGACACCAAAACTTTTTTTTCATAAACTTCAATTAATTCAACAAATAAATGAGCACCATATCTCTGCCAATCACTTTGAGAGCTAGAGAAACTTAGGGAACAAGACAATAAAAATCCTGGCACAATTCTGTTTTATTCTTAGGAGAAAACAAATACATATGACCTTATTTCAAGAAGCTTATAAAACAAGTAAGTAGTTTGTGATAAATATTTAGGATTACAATGTTAAAGTTGAAAATGAGGTACCAGGATTCCTTAAGATGCATGTGCCAACAGTTTTCTTTCTTTCTTTTTTTTAAATTTTTTTTCAGTGTAGATGGATACAATACCCTTTGTTTTATTTATTTATTTTGTGTGGTGCTGAGGATTGAACCCAGTGCCTCACACTTGCTTGGCAAGTGCTCTACCACTGAGCTACAACCCCAGCCCAAGAGTTTGATTTCTTATAATAACTGCTAATCTTCTTTTTTTTTTTTAAGAGAGAGAGAGAGAATTTTTTTATATTTATTTTTTAGTTTTCGGGGACACAACATCTTTGTTTGTATGTGATGCTGAGGATCAAACCCAGGCCGCACGCATGCCAGGCAAGCGCGCTACCGCTTAGCCACATCCCCAGCCCCACTGCTAATCTTCTTAATGTGGTGGATGTTCTGGAAGGAAGTTGATAACATATTTTGAGTATGTTTCAAAATCATACCCAAATGTTGTAACAAAACATTAAGAATATCTTCTGTAGCGGGTGGGAAGGTAAAGGAAGATAGTTGAGGGTGAACTTGGTCACAGTTTGTTATTTGAACATATGAATATGCTATAATGGCAATCATTATTCTGTATAATTAAAATGCACTCATAAAAAATATGTATTTTCCTGAGCCAGGGCAAGAAAGAATAGATCATGAATCCATTCATTACTACCTCCCTGTGTTAGTCAGCTTTTTGTTGCTGTGACCAAAATACCTGACAAGAAAGTTAGAGGAGGAAAAGTTTATTTTGGCTCCTGATTTCAGAGGTTCCATTCATGGTTGGCTGACTCAAGATGAGGTAGAATATCATGGTGGAAGGATATGGCAGAGGACAACTGCTCTATTCAAGGTGACCAGGAAGGAGAGGGGTGGTGAAGAAGGGGGAAGGGGGAGAGAAGAGAGAAGAGGGGGAGAGAGAGAGAGAGAGAGAGAGAGAGAGAGAGAGAGAGAGAGAGAGAGAGAGAGAGAGAGAGAGAGAGATGTGCACCAGTAAGCATGCATGATGCAGGTGGGGAGTGTTGCAGGGGAGATGAACACTCCTAAGGCATCCCTGCAGTGAGCCACCTCTTTTATCCAAGCACCACTTGTCTACAGTTACCACCCAGTTAGTCCATTCAAACTAGGATATATTGATTGGGTTGTATTGATTGGCAGCTCACATAATGTTAATTATTTTGTTTCTGAATATTCCTGCATTAACACAGGAGCTTTTGGGAGACACCTTATATCCAAACCATAACATTCCTTTTATTTTTATTATCTAATTTTGGGCTTTATAGGTTATTGACTTTTGAGTTTGATAGAGTATTGAAGGTAGTCTTTAATGAACTCTTTCTGTAATTTTTTGGTTCATGTTTATCTAGGACAGTTAAAATTACCTGAAAGGACCATAAAATGCTGGCTTCTCTTTTCAACAATGTATAATTGTGAATGGGATTTTTAAAAAATTTAATGAGTTGGAACAGAAATTGTCATTCTCTAAAATGGCCATAATGTTAGGTTTATTCATGAATTTTATTGTGTTCTTCAATCACTTTTTATTACTTTCAGCATTGATGCTGATGGGACCATGACAGTGGACTGGAATGAATGGAGGGACTACTTCCTATTTAACCCTGTTACAGACATTGAGGAAATCATCCGTTTCTGGAAACATTCTACTGTAAGTACACTTTGTAATTATTTGGAGCTGTAAGTTATATAGTTAACACCCAGTAACACTCTGAATATTTATGGGACCAGGATACCCAGTCCTAGTAGCTAAGATTTGTAGAGTAGCTTTTGAAACCCCAAGACTACATAAATAGGCATTTACAAAATTCAGAGAAAGTACCATCTTCATAAATAAGTTGCTCAGCCTTTATGGCATTTAAGTATTCTGCCATAGAGAAGTCTGAAAATCATAGATGTTTACTTTTCATAGATACTATGTTGTCTAAATCATCTCAACACCTCATGATTTTTTGGTCATTGATAATAAAACCAAAAATCCCTTCTGAAACTTGGACTTGTTCAGTTAGACTTCCTTGATTTACCTCTGGCTTAAGGCATTTATAATAACTATTGAATGCTACAAAATCTTTTAGGCTCATCTTTTTAGCATTTCACACCTGTTTGTATTCCATAAAACTTTGAAATTTTTTATTTTTATTAATATTTTTAAATATGTGAGTATAAATGAAGTTCTATTCTTGTGCATTTAGTTCCAGAAGCCATTGAGAATACTCTGAAGGAATTGTCTTTTTAAAAATAATGTTATTGTATTTTTTATACCTTTATTTATTTATTTTTTTGTGGTGCTGAGGATTGAACCTACTGTCTTACACATGCTACGCAAGTGCTCTACCACTGAGCTACAATCATAGCCCCAGAATTTGTTTTTCTTAATGGCTTGTCTTCTGTACTTATTTATGGATTTCAGTAACTTTAATATGCACTAAATGCAGACTTGAGTTCACATTGCTGCTAATAACAATGCCTAAGCTTATGTAGAGCATTAGTGATGACTAATAGTCTCATTTACATTTTCAAATATGAGTATAAAATAGTGCCATATTAGTAGTTCAGTTGCCTAGATAAATTTTATACTTACCTGACATTTTGTTGTATCTTTGGAGAAATATGATAAAAGTCAAGACTACAGTCATGCATCCATTTTATTGATACTGAAATGAAGGAAAAGAGAGTTATTATCATAACATAGCTCTTTACCTTACATTCTTGCCTAAAATCTTTTACAACAAAATCATTTAGATAATAAAGTTAAAATATTGTCAGTATAGAACTTCATTTCTCTTAAGCTATGTCTGTTAATTTTTAGTGAAATTTAGAATCAATGTGAGTCATCACATTGATTTAAAAAAAATGTTCCTCTTGGCTAAATTTTAAATTGAAACTATTGCATGCTTTAAATGACAAGTCAGACATATAAAATATTCATAGTCAATATAAGAAAGGAATTTAAGGATATTCACATACATAGTTTCATTTGAATGTTTAAAGCATGTATGGTGATATGAGTATAAGGTAGATATTATTTCTGAGACAAAGTTTCCCTTTGTTGCCTAGGTTGGCCTCCTGGGCTTAAGGGATCCTCTTGCCTCAGACTCCCGGGTGGCTGGGACTACAAGCATGGGCTGCCTTGCACAGCAACAAACCAATTCTCTTTTATCTTTTACATTTTTTTTCTTTGCTATGAGAAGGATCAATCCCAGGACCTTGCATGTGCTAGGCAGATGCTCAACCATGAAGCTACACCTTCAGTCCTAAATCAATTTCTTAAAAAATATTATCACCAATTGGTTATGGTTTTCTAGTCTTATGAAAAGTGGCTATAACTAGAAATAATCCACTGTAACTGATAAAATGCCATTTCATTCTGGTTTAGACCAATAGAAGTCACTCGAACTATAAAAAGAAAAAGTTGCAATTATTGGTTTTATTTACATTCACTGTTAATTTTAATTTCTTGTAAACCAACACTTAACTATGTTTGGGGTGAATAGACTGTCTTTATTCCTGTGCTCCAAACTGATTCATTGTAAATTCTAAAGGAGGAAAGTTGATATTAACAGTGAAATAACAATTTTTCTCTATAACAAAAGAACTTGTGGGATTGTCTTCTTAATTGAATGAATACAATACTCTTTTTTCCACTTTCGCAGGGAATTGACATAGGGGACAGTTTGACTATTCCAGATGAATTCACAGAAGACGAGAAGAAGTCTGGACAGTGGTGGAGGCAGCTTCTGGCCGGAGGCATTGCGGGTGCGGTCTCCCGAACAAGCACTGCCCCTTTGGATCGCCTGAAAGTCATGATGCAGGTGAGCTTCGTGACCTTCATCAGGATATTCTAAATCAATGAGCAGTGTGGGTGTTTTGAAATAGAAGCTTAAAAAATTCTCAGTAATAGTCTTTAATACCTTTTAAAAAATCTCAAGGAGGAGCCATGCTCAGACTGAAGCAAAAAAATCAAAAAATATATATTGCTTCAGTGGGCAGCAAGCATGGTATACATACCAGTGGTCATTCCTTACAGGGATGCCAAAACATGGGGAAAAGGGAGCACTGGCAGAAGATGGGGAGGAGCCCAAGACAGAGCCAGAGGTCAAGAAGAGTAAGGTGGAAGCAAAAAAAAAATGAAAAAGAGGCAGCAGAAGATGGCCCAGTTCTATAGGAAGACCCTCCATATCCAAAAACTTCACCCACTGGCAAATCGGCCGCACTCAAGATCTGCTCCTGAAATGTGAATCAGCCTCGAGCCTGGATTAAGAAGAAAGGTTTAGACACAGTAAAGGAGGAAGTCTCAAACACCATGTGCCTTCCAGAGACTAAATTTTGCAAGAACAGACTATGCCTGAACTTCAAGAGCAGCCTAGACTATTCCATCAGTCATGATCAGCTCCTTTGGACAAGGATAGATGGTGCAGCATGGGTCTACTTTCCAGCCAGTGCTAGCTCAAAGTCTGTTACGGCATTGGTGAGGAGGAAGGCCTTGTGATTGTGGTGGAATCTGACACAGTTGTACTGGCGGCTTATGTACCTAATGCAGGCAGCTGTCTGTTAAGACTGGAGTACTGGCAGCACCAGGCCTGAAGGGCTTGGCTTCAGCAAGCCCCTTATGCTTTGCAGGGACTTCAATGTGGTTCATGAAGTTAACCTTCATAACCCCAAGGGAAGCACACAATCAAACAAAAAACAACAAAACTCAAAAATGCCAGTTTCACTCCATGGGAGCCTATGGTTTTGGGTGCTGCTTGCTGACAGCCCCTGACACCTTTACCCCAACACTGCCTATGTCTATAGGTTTTAAACTTACATGATGAATACTTGGGCCAAGAAGTTGGTTACCACCTTGGTGACTTTTTATTGTTCCACTCTCTTTTACCTTCATTGTACAACAGCAAGATCTCTTCTAATGCCCCACCCTGGTCCCTGGCAGTGATCACTGTCCCACCATGCTATACCTAGCACTGTGACACCTCTCAAAAATCACCTTGAGCCTTGGAAATAATTCCCCCCACTGAATTATTCCTTCTTCAACAGCTCTCTAGAGAAATCTGCATTTTATTTCTCTTCTGTAAGAATATGCATCCTTCAACCATGCTGTTGTGAAAGTTTCCTTTTAAGTTTCCTTTTAAGCCCAAGGTTTTTGTTTTGTGGACACCCTTTCCCTCCCCACCCTTCCACTTTTTTTTTTTTTTTTGTATGGTGCTTGTGATTGAACCCAGGGTCTTATGCATGTGCAGCAAGCACTCTATCAACTGAGCTATCTACCCAGCCCACCTCCCTTTTTAATAAGAAAACATTAAGCAAAAGCTACTAATGAGAGTAGAGATTAAAAAATTCTTAGAGGTAAATGAGAACACTGATACAAGGTACCAAAATCTCTGGGGCACTCTGAAGGCAGTGCTAAGAGGAAAGTTTATTGCATTGAGTTCATTCCTTAAAAGAATAAGAAGTCAACAAATAAATGACTTTACGTTATACCTCAAAGCCCTAGAAAAAGAAGAATAAATCTACATCTAAAGTAGTAGAAAACAGGAATAGTTAAAATCAGAGCAGAAATAAATGACATTGAAACAAAATAAACAGTTAGAAAAATTGCCCAAACAAAAAGTTGCTTCTTTGAAAAAAATAAGCAAATAGATAAACCCTTGGCCATGCTAATGAAAAGGAGAGAGAAAACTCAAATTACTAAAATTCATGATGAAAAAGAAAATATCACAATGGACACTACTGAAATACAGAAGATAATTAGAAACCATTTTGAAAATTTGTACTCCAGTAAAATAGAAAATCTGGAAGACATCAACAAATTTCTAGAGTCATATGATCTGCCCAAACTGAATCAGTACACAATTTAAACAGATCAATTTCAAGCAATGAAATAGAAGGTGCTATCAAAGGTTTACCAAAAAAGAAAAGCCCCAGAACCAGATAGATTCACTACTGAGTTCTACAACACCTTCAAAGAAGAGCTAATATCAACACTCCTCAAATTATTCCATGAAATTGGAAAGGAGAAAACCCTTCCAAACTCATTTTATGAGGCCAATATTAGTCTGATACCAAAACCCTCAAAGACACTTCAAGGGGGAAAAAAAAAAAAAAAAAAAAAACTTCAGACCAATATCTCTAAAGAACATAGCTGCAAAAATTCTTAATGAAATTCTGACAAATTGAATACAAAAACATATTAAAAAGATAATGCACCACAGTCAATTGGGGTACATCCCAGGGATGCAAGGTTGGTTCAACATACAGAAATAAATAAATGTAATTCATCACATCAATAGACTTAAAGATAAGAATCACATGATTATCTTAATAGATGAAGAAAAAGCATTTGACAAAATACAGCACCTCTTCATATTCAAAACATAGAAAAACTAGGGATAACAGGAACATATCTCAACATTGTAAAAGCTATCTATGCTAAGCTCAATGCCAATGTCATTCTAAATGGAGAAAAATTGAAAGCATTCCCCCTAAACACTGCGACAAGACTGGAATGCTCTCTTTCACCACTTCTGTTCAACATAGTCCTGGAAACTCTAACCAGAGTAATTAGACAGATGAAAGAAATTAAAGGGATATGAACAGGAAAGGAAGAACTCAAGCCATCACTACTTGCTGACGACAATTCTATACTTAGAGGACCCAAAAAGTTCCACCAGAAAATTTCTAGAAATAATAAATGAATTCAGCAAAGTAGCAGGCTACAAAACCAACACTCATAGGTCAAATGTACTTCTGTACATCAGTGACAAATCTTCTGAAAGAGAAATTAGAAAATCTACCCCATTTACAATAGCCAGAATAAAATAAAATACTTGGGAATCAACCTAACAAAATAGGTAAAAACAAAACAAAACAAAACAAAAAAAACCCTAAAATGAAAACTACAAAACTCTATAGAAAGAAATTGAAGAAGACCTCAGAAGATGGAAAGATCTCCCTTGTTTTTGGGTAGGCAGAATTAATATTGTCAAAATGTGGGGCTGGGCTTGTGACTCAGTGGTAGAGTGCCTGCCTAGCATGTGTGAGGCACTGGGATTCTCAGCATCACATATAAATAAATAAAATAAAGGTCCATCAACAACTAAAAATATTTTTTAAAAATTTGTCAAAAATGGCCATACTAATGAAAGCATTATATAGATTTAATGCAATTTCAATCAAAATCCCAATGAAATTCATCATTGAAATAGAAAAAGCAGTCATGAAATTCATTTAGAAAAATAAGAGGCCCAGAATAGCAAAGCAATTATTAGCAAGAAGAGTGAAGCAGGAGGTATCACAATACCAGACCTTAAACTATACTATAGAGCTATAGTAACAAAAATGGCATACTATTGGCACCAAAATAGACATATAGATCAATGGTACAGAATAGAAGATGTGGAGACAAACCCACATAAATACAGTTATCTAATACTAGACAAAGGTGCCCAAAACAAACATTGGAGAAAAGACAGCCTCTTCAATAAATGGTGTTGGGAAAACTGGAAATCCATATGCAGCAAAATGAAATTAAACCTCTCTCTCTTACCCTACATAAAGGGATATGAACAGGAATGGAAGAACTCAAACTATCACTACTTGCTGGGATGACACAATTCTATACTTAGAGGATCCAAAAAGTTCCACCAGAAAATTAACTCAAAGTGGATCAAGGACTTAGGAATTAGGCCAGAGACTTTGCACCTAATAGAAAAAAAAAAAAGGAAAAAAAAAAACAGGCCCAAATCTTCATCATATTGACTTAGGACCTGACTTCCTTCACAAGACTCCTAAAGCACAAGAAGTAAAATCAAGAATGAATAAATGGGATGGATTTAAACTAAAAAGCTTCTTCTCAGCAAAAGAAAAAATTATTGAAGAGAAGAGAGAGCCTATAGAATGGGAGCAAATTTTTACCATATGAACATCAGAGCACTAATCTCTAGGATATATAAAGAACTCAAAAAACTTATAAAGAACTCAGAAAACCCCCAAAATAATCCAATCAATAAATGGGCTAAGGAAATGAGAAGACACTTCACAGAAGAGGATAAATAAGAGATTAACAAATTTATGAAAAAATGTTCAACATTGCTAGCAATTAGAGAAATGAAAATCAAAAAACTACTGTAAGATTTTATGTCACGCCAGTAGAATGGCAATTATCAAAAAATCAAGCAGCAATAAGTGCTGGCGAAGGTATGGGGGAAAAGGTACACTGATTCATTGCTGGTGGGATGGCAAAATTGTGCAATCACTTTGGAAAGTAGTATAGAGATGCCTTAGGAAAAAAAACATGGATTGGAACCACCATTTGACCCAGCTATCCCACTCCTAGGTCTATGCCCAAACGACTGAAAAGCAGCATGCTACAGTGATGCAGCCACCTCAATGTTTTCAGTGGCTCAATTCACAATAGCTAAATTGTGGGAACAGCCTACATGTTCTTTAATAGATGAATGGATAAAGAAACTGTGATATATATACACAATGGAATATTACTCAGCCTTAACAAATGAAATCATAGCATTTACATTTAAATGATCAGAGTTGGAGAATATCATGCTAGGTGAAGTAAGCCAATCCCCAAAAAACCAAAGGCCGAATGGTTTCTCAGTTAAGTGAATGTTGATATATAGGGGGTGGCAAGGGAAGAATGGAGGAACTTTGTATTGAGCAATGGGGAGGAAGGGTGTGTGGCAGGGGGGAGATGGTAGAATGAGATGGACATTATTACCCCTATGCATGGGTATGATCACACAAATGGTGTGACCCTACATCATGTACAACCAGAAAAATGAAAAGTTGTGCTCTCTTTGTGTAAAAATAAGAAAGAAAGAAGAAAGAAAGAAAGAAAGAAAGAAAAAGAAAGCAAGCTACTGATAAATAACTTCCTTTTAACAATCAGTAAAAACAAAAAACAAAACAAAACAAAAAACCCACACAAACTTCCGTTTAATTCCTACTAACCTTAAATTCAGTCTGTAGGTATTTGGCAGTGTTCTACCAAACCTTAAATTTTTGGTAAATTTGTGTAATGAACTTTAAATATATGACATTCAATGACTGTTCAAATGTATAATAAGAAAATCAGTAGCCATTTTTGTAGGGTTTCTCTTTAAATTATTTGAATTTTGCCTCTTTTTTTGGTACTTTTACAAAAATAGGGCATTTCTGAAGTCTAAAAATCTTAGGATAAGAATGAAATTTTAAAAATTATTGTAAAGTTGAGGTTAACAGAAAAGACCTGGATTTATGGAAATACTTTGCTACTTTCCTAGCAGTGTAGCCTTCAGCAGGTCAGAGTAGAAAGGAGGAGGGAAAGGAAAGGATAAATATTTATCTCACATAATGGTGACTCAGTGAGTACTCATAGTAGCCCAGGAAAGTGGGTGTTTTATCCTTATTTTACCCATGGGGATCCTAAAGCTCTGAGAATTAATTCTTTTTCTTTATAACAAACTAGACGAGGAACAGAGTCTCTTTACTGCTAAAACTTATGGTTCTCATACTGCATGAAACCTCTGAGGTCTTGTTTTCCTTCATTCTGGAATGGGAGTAAGAATATCTAGCAAGGGTGACTGTAAGAATTAAAACCATACAAGGGCTTTGAAGCCACCGGACATTAACTTTCTGGAACATAGTAATTGCTTAAAAATATTTTCAAAATGGCTCAGTGGCAAAGTGCTTGCCCAGCATGCATGAGGTCCTGGGTTCAATCCTCAGCACTACATAAAATAATAAATATGTAAAATAAAGGTATCACGTTCATCTACATCTAAAATTTTTTTTAAAAAAAGTAATGTTTGTGATACCTATGTGAATACTTTTTATATTTGTCCTTAGATTTATGTATAAGATTTCTAACAATATTTTAACTACCATTCCTTCAGAATATACCAAAATTTTAAAATATACTTAGAGACATAGTGCTTTAAAAAAAAAAGTAGGGGGTGTGAGAGAATTGGTGTGTATAAAAATATACCAAAATTTTAAAATATATTTAGAGACATAGTGCTTTAAAAAAAAAGTAGGGGGTGTGAGAGAATTGGTGTTTTTCTTTAGGAACAGTAGCAAATTGATTTTGATAAAAGTTGAATAAGCATTCATCTTTTCCTTTGCCATCTTTTATTGTGAAGTTGATTTATTTTAAATGAAATGGATTTCTTAGAATTTTCGTTTCTATAAATTCAGGGGGTTCCCAAAGTCACCTTCAGGTTGGATATTTCACTAGAAGGACTCAAAGAACTGAGAGCTACTATACTCGTGGTTATGGTTTATTACAGGAAAAAGATAAAGATTAAAATCAGCCAAGAAAAGGAAGTACAAAGGGCTGAGTCCTGGAAAGTACCAGATGTGGAACTTCTATTGTCCTCTCCTTGTAGAGTCTCAGTGGGTTGTTTTCCTGTCATCCATGTGAAAAGTAAGCACAGAGTATTGTAGGCCAATCAGGAAAGCTCACCTGAGCCTTTGGTATCTTGCATTTTTATTGGGGCCTGATCACATTGTGGTCACATGATTGACCTTTAATCTTCAACCCCTTTCACCTTCCCCCACCCCTTAGTGGTTTCCAGTCATTTTATATAAGCTGGAACAATCAGAAGAATAGCTGAGTTCTTTAATTATTTTTTGGTTTATTAATCAGTTTCCATATACAGCCAATCCTAAGTTCTAATATATTTAAATGATTACCACCTCTACAGGATAAGTCAAGTAATTCACCAACACCTTCTGGGTTAGGCTGTTGGTATATATTGTCATGAATTTATTACCTAGAAAGACCTTGAGATAGGCCTTAGAAGGTACAATTTTTCTTTCTGGTGCCAGGCTGTGTGTTCCAGTGTCTCAGCCTCTGATACACATATTATCCAAATCACATTTATACCCATTTATAGTATATGCCAGTACTACTTCTTGGGGGGGAGTGAGTAATCTATTACCTGCAGTATACTTTGTTATTTCTCATGTTTCAAGGGGTTTGCTATAGCCTAATACATAATTTGGTTCATGTTATCTTATGAATGTTGTCCATAATAATTTTAATTTTGATCGTGTCCTGTTTTCCCATGCTGAGGATACCAGTTATTCTTAATTTTAGAGCCAGACATAGACTTCTGTCTTTAAAATAATGTAGTGATAATCCTTCTCATTACTATATATTTTCTCAACTGCCTATGTGTTTTTTTTTCAAATACATCTTATGACAGTTATAAAGACTACTGAAGAGATTGTGTGGTTATTTTGGAAATAATATCAATAATATGCCAGCAGTGTTTTACATCATTTCACTTTTAATTTTAGGTTCATGGTTCAAAATCAATGAACATATTTGGTGGCTTTCGACAGATGATAAAAGAAGGAGGTGTCCGTTCCCTTTGGAGAGGAAATGGCACAAATGTCATTAAAATTGCTCCTGAGACAGCTGTTAAGTTCTGGGCATATGAACAGGTAATCATCTGTGGAAATTTTTTAAAAATAGGAGTTACTGAACTGATTGAATAAAGATGATCATATGATGCTTTCGGAATTCTTGTTTAATGCATAATAACTGTTCACATATACTCAGTATATCATATACTATATATATGTATGATATTAGATCATATACTAGATAAACTCAGCAATTCCTCATGACTAAATTCTGAATCTTGTAATATTCTTTCTAAAGAAAGACTTTTGTGTTCTTTTGTAAGTAGCTCTTAAAGGAAAGGTAGGGTTTTAGCTTATTTATTGTGAATTCCTAGGAGAGGCAACATGCTAACATAAATTTTATGCAAGCATCCCAATATAATCTCTGAATAGAAAACTTCTGAGTTGAATTCCTTTGTGTAATTTAACACTGATGTGAAATGGAGTTGAATTGAGAGAGAAGGTTCCATCAAGGCAGGGGCTTGGCTTCCCTATGTGCTCCAGCATCTAGGCAGAGCCAGGCGTATGATAAGCACTGTTTGTTGAATGGATGAATGAGGTGATAATGGAGCACATCCTTCACTGAGTCCTCTTCTCTGTTGACTGAAGTTGACTTGGATTGTTTTGGATATTGCTTCAGCTTCACATGGCGGTAACAGAAAACAGGGTAGTGGTTTTAGAGTTTGGTTTCTCTTTATGATCATTATTAGTACTGTCTACGAAGTTATTTTTTTTCCATCATTTTTTCCATCATTGTTTATCATAGACTATAAAGGGCTTTGAAATTAAACTTCATTCCACATTTTTTGTTTCATTTATTTTAAATGGATTTTTGATTATTCGGGAGAGTGATTTTTTTCCAACAGCAGATTCGAGGAGATTACCAAATCCAGTGATGTTCCTGTAGGATTAGGAAATAGATAAGCAAAGAAAAAAATGTTGAAGAACAGCTAGCTTCCAGGACTTTAATTAGAACTTACTGGAAAAGGTATTTTCCTTATGTGAATATTTGACCATTCAAATGACTAGTAAGGGCTGGTGTTTTAGATACCGTTAGGTTTATCTGACCACATATTTGCTTTTATAATAGGAAAGCCAAAGCCTAAAATAAGTAAGTATTCAAAAATAATTCCATTATATTAATATGCAGGAAGTTTTGTATATTGGAAAGTCCATAGTTATTGTAAGCAAGTGGGTGCATTACGCTTTATACCACTCATCAAGTTCTTACCTTGGATATTACCAACAGGATTCTATCCACCAAGGCTCCTTCCTGAGCACTTATTCCATTATTCTGATTTCTGCATGCTAACTTTTGTTAGACATTAAGAGAAAGCTCTCTAGGCAGTATGGTATAGTGTTCTCATGATCTCTGGGGCGGTTGATACCATTCCATTTTCTTCCCTCCTACAGAAGTTCTGTTCATCCCTTAGTGCTCTCTTAAGACCATCTTGCTGTGAGAAGCAGTTCCTAATCATCCCAAACAAAACCAGTGCATCCCTTGCACAGCCTCTTTAGGATGCAAAACTACAGAATACCCAGAAGACTTGGGTTTCATCCCAGGTCTGCCTGACTCTGGAACCCATGATGTTAACATCCTGACTAATTAATATTTTGACTTCTTTGGGGTCATATTTCCACCTTTGGTTCAATCAGCTATTTTGAATTGATACTGGTGGTTCAGGGAGGTGCTAGGGTTGGCATGTTAGTGTACTTAAATGTATCATTGACAAAAACTGTTTTCTACATTGTTTTGTTAATATTTGGTTGTCACTTATTGTTTTTATTTGTACTGGTGAAATAAACTCATCTTTAAAAGGAAACTATGAGGGAAAATGCCTAAAAATTATGAATACTTTATTAACCCATGTTTTTTGTGTGTCTGGAAAAGAATGCTGTTACTCTGTTTTAGCAAAGGAGCAATTTGGTCCAGCCTGTGGAATATCCATATTCTGTGGAAATCTAACCTGAGAACCGCTGTCCAGTACACTGAATGTATTAGCATTTCAGCCTTATCTTTCTGCTAGATATCGTTAATGCAACATATGCATTTTGACACACATCATCACATTGTCAATGAATTCATTTCTAGGAGCTGATTTGTATTTTGGTATTGTTTTAATTAGCTTGAGCCACCAGAACAAAATGCCACCAACTGCAAGGCTTAAACATTAGAAATTTATTTTTCATAGTTCTGGAGCTTGGGAAGTACAAGATCAAAGGACCAGCCAATTTGGTTCCTATTGAGGACTTCTTCCTGCCTTGCAGACGGTTGCTTCTTGTCACATTTTCAGATTGCCTTTCCTTAGTGCATGTATGAGTGGAGAATAAGCTTTCTGGTGTCCCTTCTTACCAGTGCTATTCCTATCATTAAGGTTTAACCTCATCTAACCTAATTGCTTCCAAAGGCCCCATCTTCTACTGCCATCATGTTGAGGTTTAGGTTTCAACATGTGAATTTTAGGGGGCACATTTCTGTTGATAGCATGTACTAATGTTCATTTTAAAACTTTTTCATACAGTATAAGAAGTTGCTTACTGAGGAAGGACAAAAAATAGGAACCCTTGAGAGATTTATTTCTGGTTCCATGGCTGGAGCAACTGCACAGACTTTCATTTATCCCATGGAGGTAAGTACCTGATTTTGAAGTCCGACTCCTTGATGGAGTTTGCATTGGCATCTATTGTGTAATAGTTTTTTTTTTTAAGAGAGAGAGAGAGAGAGAATTTTTTAACATTTATTTTTAGTTCTCATTGGACACAACATCTTTATTTTTATTTTTTTAATGTGGTACTGAGGATCGCACCCAGCACCCTGCACATGCCAGGTGAGCCCGCTACTGCTTGAGCCACATCCCCAACCCTAACAGTTTTAAATAACAAGCTTATCTCATAGTTTCTATGGATCAAGAATCAGGGAGCAGCTTGGCTGGGTTTCTCTGGCTCAAGGTTTTTCAGTGCCTATCTTCAAGGTGTCAGCCAGGGCTGCAGTCACCTTAAGGCTCGGCTGGGGGTGGAGGTACTTCCAAGCTCACCATGTAGCCATTGTCAGGCCTCAGGGACTGGAAGCCTCAGTTCCTTATCATGTTGGCCTTTCTACTGGCTGCCCGAGTATCTTCCCAACATGGTAGCTGGCTTCCCTTATAGTCAGTGATGAGAAAGGAGGGGGTTGGGAGTGGAAGGGGTGGGGGGTGCAGAGAAAGAGAGAGAGAGAGAAAGAGAGAGAGAGAATGAGCAAGCATGTACATTTAAGATGGAAATTGCTCTTTTTCATCACTTCTGCCACATCCTATTGGTCACACAGACCAACTCTGGTAGAGTGTTGTAGAGATCACACAAATCTGTGCCTGCCAAGAGTCAAGGATCAGTCTTAGAGGTTAGCTACCCCTGTGTTGGTGACAAGAATTCCCATTTCTTTCCAAAGAGTACCATAAACTTAATAACAGAACCTCAGGATTTGATTATATGGTGGTGATCCTAACCAGACCTCCTTCCATCAGACCATGGACTTGTGAACTGTTTTACATAGCCTTTGAGCTAAGAATTTTTTATTGTTGTTGTTTGTTTGTTTTTTAGAATTTTCAAAGGCAAGTAGAGACAAAACAAAAGAAAAACAAAGAATATGCATCAGAGACCTGACATTTTAGGCCTACAAAGACTGAAATATTTATTATCTGGCTTTTACAGAAAACATTTTCCAACTCCCACTTTAGGATAAAAATAATATTGTAGATGTGGTTATCTCTATTGACATAACAATCGATAAGACCCTTAATCCACTGCCTTGTCATATGTATGTCCATATACATTTTTGTTCATATTACTCCTCTTAGAAAAGGTATCCTAATTTAGTACCCATCCTTATAGCCTCCATCTCAGTGATCACTTTCCTCCTCTCTCCTTTCCACCCCTCCTGTCCTCGAAATGCTGGTAGCCTTCAAGACATCCTTTCCTTCATCCTCCACACCAGTCATATTATGACAACAATAGATGATCTTGTCTCCATTTCCTCTGTCCCTGTCCTCATTCAGATTCTCTTTGCAGTAAATGGGTTTTTCTGGCTCTGGTCTTAGCCCTTCCATGGCAATAATACATGAGGGAGGACAGACTGGCAAATTGAACAGCCGTGTGAGTGACAATGTGTGCTAGTTATTTGTTCTCCACAAAGTTGCTTCTTTTGAATTCCATGAAGTTAGAGTTACTGTGGATAATGTTTGGTTATATTCTTTCATTTTCAGGTTATGAAAACCAGGCTAGCTGTGGGAAAAACTGGACAATACTCTGGAATATATGACTGTGCAAAGAAGATTTTGAAACATGAAGGCTTTGGAGCTTTTTACAAAGGCTATGTTCCCAATTTATTAGGCATCATACCTTATGCAGGCATAGATCTTGCTGTGTATGAGGTACGTTTACAACCGTGTTTTGAATCTGCAAATGTAATCATTATTGCTCTTAATGCTAGAATTTCACTTTATGTAAAGTAGGTATATATCAGACAGCAGCTTCTGACCTGACCATGCTATTCTAGAGTGTGTCCTTTGATCTTTTTTTTTTCAAGTACCTTGAATATGAAACTCATGAGTATGGGTCACTTTCATATTAGATTTCCTTGTGAATTATTTTTGTTAATAAAGAGAGTGGACTCAAATTCAGATATGGTTGTTCAGCTTAGAAGATGATATAAGGGGTTTTCCTGGGAAAGAGGAGAGAAATATAAGCAAAAATATCACATTTGCTTTGATTTGTTAAGAAGGGACATTGATGAAGCCAAGTGACCAATGTGGGTAATATAATACAGATGCATCTGTTGTACTAGAGACAGTTCAGAATACAAACCTTGGATCAGCCCTGCTACCTAAATCACTTGATTATTTATAAATTTAAGAAACATTTATTTATTGAATACATACTATGTGCAGGCCGCTGGGTTAGATACTGGATCCTGGTGATTTAAAGGACTCAGTGTCTGCCGTTAAGAAATTGAAGGTCTGGCTAGGTGTGGTGGTGCATGCCTGTAATCCCAGTGACTTGGGAGGCTCAATTAGTAGGATCACAAGTTCAAGACCAGCCTTGGCAGCTTAGTGAGATCCTGTCTCAAAGTAAAAATAGAAAGTGCTGGTTCATAACTTGGTAGATTCAATCTCTAGTACCACCACTACCACCACAACAACAAACCCAACAAACAAATGAACACACAAACTGAAGGTCTGATGGGCGGACATAGATAAGCTTACAGCTAAAGCACAGTGGTTGGTTAGTTGTGTTATGACAGACATAAGCCAGGGCACATATTAGGAGACCCAATCTATAGCTGAGGGGAGAGGTGGGGATGTGTAAAGAAAGCTTTTTTAGAGGACTTTGCCACTTCTTAATTTTAACAACTTTATTGCGATACCATATATTGCACCCACTTAAAGCATTATAATTCAAAAACTTTTGGTATGTTGCATCATTATTAACTTTTTAAAATTATGATAACGTGACATCATTTCAACAGTTTTAAATGTTCAATTCAGTGTCATTAGTCATATTCACAGTATTTGTGGAGCCTTCATCATTGCGTATTTCTAAAACTTTTTATCAGGCTAAATATAGAGTTTTAATTATTAAGCAGTAAACTCCCTGCCCCACCTTCCCTTCACTCTCTAGTAACCTCTATCCACTTTCTGTCTTATGAATTTGTATACTCCAGAGGTTTTGTAAGTGAAATCATATAATCTTGTCTTTTTACATCTGGCTTATTTCACTTGGCATATGTCTTCAAGATTCCTTCATGCTGCAGCATGTGTCAGAACTTCATTATTTTTATTGGATAAATAATATTCCATTGTATGTACATACAATTATCCCCCATATAGCAATGTTTGGGACAATGAAGGACACATGTGATGGTGGTTCCACAAGATTATAATGGAGCTGAAAAATTCCTGTTGCCCAGTGATGTCACAGACATCTTAACAGCATTAGTGTGAGGAACTACTCACATGCTGCAGTGATGCTGGTGCAAACAAACCTATCTTGCTGCTAGTTGTATGAAAGTATAGCACATACAATTATGTACAACATGTAATACTCAGTAATGGTGATAAATGGCTATGTCACAGGTTTATGTACTTACTGTATTCTACTATTTATTGTTACTTTAGAGTGTACTCCTACTTTTTAGAATTTTTTTAATTTGTTCTTTTTAGATATACATAACAGTTGAGTGTATTTTGACATATTATACATATATGGTATATTCCTATTTTTAAAAAATGTCTAATGATCTGGGCAGCAGCTCTGGAAGCTGAGGCAGGAGGACTACAACAAGCTCAAAGCCAGCCTCAGCAACTTAGTGAGGCTCTAAGCAACTTAGTGAGACCCTGTCTTTAACTAAAATATTAAAAAGTGCTGGAATATGGCTCACTGGTTAAGCCTCCCTTGGGTTCAATCCCTGGTAGTCCCCCCCCAAAAAATGTCTACTGTAAAACAGTATATTATGTTGTATCAGCAGTAGCCTTATACATCTCATAATTTTTAAAAAAACATTGTATTAATTGTTGGTGGACCTTTATTTATTTATTTATTTATATTTGGGTGCCAGGGATTGAACTCACGGGCACTTGACCACTGAGCCACATCCCCAGCCTTACTGAGTTGCTTAGCACCTGGCTAAACTGCTGAGGCTAGCTTTGAACTCACCATCCTCCTGCCTCCCTGAGCTGCTGGGATTACAGGTGTGGCCACGGTGCCCAGCCCCTTTATTTATTTTTATATGTTACTGAGAATTGAACCCATTGCCTCACACATGCTATGCAAGTGCTCCACCACTGAGCCCCAGCCCCAGCCCGACATCTCATCTTTGTGAATCTCTTGATTACCTCATTTCCTCTTGTGTTTGATTTAATCTCACATTGTTTAGTTCATCTTGGCCCTGGGAGAAATACGCTGCATCATACGTATGCACCATATGGCCTGGGTGTGAAGTAGGCCACGCTACCTAGGTTTGTGCAAGTGCATTCCACAGTGATCACATGACAGTGAAACACCTGGGGGAATGCATTTCTCAGGTGTCCTCATCATTCAGCAGCACACGACTTCATCTTTTTCCATTCTTTTGCTTTTAGCTTATGTGTGTTCTTATATCTAACATGAGCCTCTTGTAGTTAGGATATGGACGATCCTATGTGTTGTATCATTCAGTGATTTATATCTTTTAATGAAGACCTTTAATCCATTACATTGAAAGCAGTTACTGATAGAACTTGCTATTGCCATTTTGTTTACTGTTTTCTGTTTGTCTTATAGATTTTTTGTTCCTCCTTTCCTTTCTTATTACCTTTTTTTTTGGTGTTAATTTTTTTGTAGTGACATGTTTTAATTCTCATTTCCTTCTGTGTCTATACTGTAAATATTAGTTTTGTGGTTACTATTGCAATTATATAAAACATATTAAGGCTGTAACAATCTCTTTTAAACTAATTGCAACTTAACTCCAATCTTATATGAAAGCTCTAGTCCTCTACATCTCTGACTTCCTCCCTCCACTTTGTTATTTATGACACAAATTACTTCTCTTTATATTGTATGCCCATGAACAGATTTATAATTACTTTTTATGATTTTGTTTTTTAAACTTCTATACCAGAGCTTGAAGCTATTTACATCCTTCAGTACAATTCTACTGTATTTTATAATTTATATTCACCTTTACAAAGGGTTGATATTTTCCTATGGTTTTGTCTTGCTGTTTATTGTTCTTTTCTTTCCACTTAAAGGATTCCCTTTAGCATTTCTTGTAGGGCAGGTCTAGTGGTGATAAACTGTCTCAGCTTTCATATATCTAGGAAGCTCTTAATATCTCCTTCATATTTATAGAAAAGGTTTGCCAATACAGTATTCTTGGTTGACACATTTTTATTTTAGCACTTCAAATATAACGTATCACTTCCTTTTAGCCTGCAAGGTTTCCATTAAGAAATCTTATGATAATCTTACAGGATTAAAAACCAAATGATTTGTACTAGTTACATACCATATTAGCATAAATGTTATGCCTAAAATATTTTATGTTGAAAGAGCTAATTAACTCATATATTTAATACAACTTATCCTGGGTATTGCCTTCTAATGAAATACAGGGGCCTCGAATAACAGGGGAGAGAAGATGGCTCTGGATCAGTACCCCTGACTCTGAGCCCTTTTTAAAAAAATCTCCATTGGAGTACATTATTACTAAGATCAGAATAATAGATCCATGTCAGAGTTTCTATAAGGACCAAATGAAATAATGAAAGTGTCAAGAGTGTAAACTTAGATATAAGTATAATGTTTTTATTAGTATTTACCATAAGAAATATTCTTTGGATCCTACAACATTTGGTGTGCTATTGATCTTCAGGTTTGTTTTAAAAGAAGATGAACAACCAGGGCATACCTCTCATGTACTGAATCTCAAGTTGCTCTCTGTAGAGCTGCTGCCTCCTGCCATGACTGTTGCTCCCAGGAACATGTACCCCCTCTCACAGACAATGGCAGTCTCTTATGAAGATGAGGATAGTTGTGGAAATGCTTGCCTAGAGTGAAAGTGGTTGTCAAGTTTGTTGTTCATTATTTTTATTCTTTTCTCCATTTCTGGGACAGCTCTTAAAGTCCCATTGGCTGGATAATTTTGCAAAGGACTCTGTAAACCCTGGTGTCATGGTGTTGTTGGGATGTGGTGCCTTATCCAGCACCTGTGGCCAGCTGGCTAGCTACCCCTTGGCTTTGGTGAGGACTCGCATGCAAGCCCAAGGTAAGTTTATTTATTTATTTTTAAATTGGTACATCTCAGTTATATAGATTGATGTTGGCATATTTGCACAAACATAAAAATACAATGTGATCAGTTTCACTATCCAATATCCCATCACCTTTTTCTCTTCCCTTCTCTAATGGTCACTTTTCTGCTTCCATGGTATCCTCTTTTTCTCAGTCTTTTCCATCTAGCTTCTTGCATATGAGGGAGTCTTTGAATCTGTCTTATTTTGCTCAACATTGCTCTCTAGTATCATTAATTTTCTACAAAATGACATAATTTTATTCTTCTTTATGGCTGAATAAAACTACATTGTGTTTACATACCACATTTTCTTTATTTTTTCATCTCTTGATATATCTAGGCTGATTCCATAACTTGAGTTGTGATGAAGTAAATATTCATGTATCTTTAAAGTATGCTGACTTTAATTCTTTTGGATAATTACCAACAAGTCATATAGTTGGATCATATGGTAGTTATAATTAAAGTATTTCACCTATTCTTCTAATAGTTGCAAAGTTTCTGCTCTTAGGGCTTTGATTCATTTTGAGTTTACTTTTGTCCAGGGTAAGAGATGAGAATTTAATTTCATTCTTCTACATATGGATATCCAGTTTTCTAAGCATTGATTACTAAGGAGGCTGTCTTTTTTCTTTCCAATATATGTTTGGAGTTCCTTTGTCAAGAATCAGATAATTGTAGCTGTATGGGCTTCTCTCTGTATCTTCTATTAAGAACATAATGCGTATTTTGATGGGAATTGCATTGCATCTGTATATTTTGATACTCTGACCATTTTAACAACATTAATTCTGCCTATCCATGAACATGGGATGTCCTTATATCTTTTAGTGTTTCCTTCAATTTTTTTGTTTAGTGTTCTATAATTTTTATTATAGAGGTTTTTCACCTCTGAATGTGAGTTTTAGATTAATACCAATAAAAAGTGCTGCATCAGTCACATGCTTTTGGAACTTCAATTTAATTGAAACAGCTGAGTGTAGTTTTAAGAGAATTTCTCTAACTTCTCCCCCACTATTGTCTCCTTAAGTTTCCTCTTTGGAAGTTCTTTAGTATCTCCCACTTCATAAAATTTTAATGTCATAGATACACCAAATTTACATGTATGATTTATATATAAACAGAATAAGATTATTTTCTTTGGACTGTTTTAATATCATATGTAAAGTACATGTGTATGCATGATTTACATTTAAACAGAATAAGATTTATTTTCTTTTTACTCTGTTGAATGTATGGTGTAAGAATATAAGTTTTGGTATCTACAAGGGTTTTGGTTTATATCCTTGCCATAAATCTCTTTGGATTTCCATTTTCTTTTTCTTTTTTTTTTTTTTAAAGAGAATCATGTTTTTTTCCAGTTGTTGATGAGTCTTCATTTTATCTATCTATCTATCTATATACCTACCTACCTATCTATTTATATGTGGTGCTGAGAATCGAACCCAGTGCCTCACACGTGCAAGGCAGACAAGCACTCTACTGCTGAGCTACAACTCCAGCCCCTGGTTTTCCATTTTCTATTCTGTGAATGGGCATGAAAAGAATTAGTTGCAATATAAGTAAAGCACATGGCACTTGTTAAATTTTTAGTAAATAGTGATTACAATTGTTTGTTGTTAGTGCTGCTTGGACCTCACAATCTTTGAATTGGGATTCTTCCTCACTGTGTCACTAGCTCTTTTCTTCACAGCTAGCTCTTTTCTTCCTGGTTCTTCTGCCCACTCATTGATTATTCTCTCCTTACTATTTTCTGGCTTTTATAACTATACTCCCTCTATCAAAGGTATGCATTTAGTACCTTTCTTTTACTTTTTTCTCTGTTCAATCTCATCCACTGTTAATTTCTTTGAATAGTGCACCCTGGGCATCTACAACTTCATCCCCAAGCTCTTTTCCAAGTGCATCCATCTCTCATTCACAAGCAGTGGGTCATTAATTGAAAAATACTTCTTGAGCCATTGCAGGGTGCTAGACACTGCTGGATGCTAGATTAGAGCACTCAACAGGTAAAATGTGGTTCCTACCATTGTAGAGTGGAGCAGACACACATCCAGGAAGTGAACAACCTTAATAAATTACCTCCCCTTTGTTAGGGGGAGCACAGAGCAAAGGCTGTAACCTAACTCCAGCTGGTGACTGGAAAGACATGTGGGAGTTGGCTGGGCAGAGGCAGATGGAATGGATTAGGAAAGAGCATTTCAGCCTGAGGAAAAGCATTGTGAAGTTAATGGGGCAGGAACAAAGGCAGCACCTTGGAGTAGTTGAGAACCAATCATATGATTGCAGAGAAGAATGCAAAGTAGTAAACTAAATGTTTTTGAGTATTCTCTCATTTAACCATTGTAATCATTTAGGGGACCTTGGCACTGACATTACCCACATTTTGCAGATGAGTTACTGGGACAAAGATAGGAACTTCTAGAAAGTTATATATTTGGTAAATAGTGGCACTAGAATTGAAACCCAGGCATCAAACCATTGCCTAATGAGCTTACCCCTCCTGTCTGCTAGTTCCAGCACAGACCTTCACATGGCTGCCATGTTTGTGGTTTCCAAAGTCAGGTCTGACCATCTTACATCTGCTCAGACATCTTTGTAACTCTTCAATGTCTTCAGAGAAAATCCCAAATTTCTTAGTGGGAACCTCAAAGCCTTTAGTCATTTGTCCCACTATATTTTTAGCTTCATCTGCATTTTCCTATCCCTACCTTGACCACTTCAGCCTCTTGGTACCACCTGTATAATGACCACATCCTACAATTGTCTGTGTCCCCTAACATATGTTGGTTCCTACCCTTGTCTTTGTTGTGCAGCAAAACAGGTTTCCTTCCATCCTTTGCTATCCTACTGAGATGATTTTCAAGGATCAAGTCCCTTATGTTTTCTTAAGCTTCTCAAAAAGTTTCTCTGTACTTCTCCCACTGGACAAAATGTAACTGTTTGCTGTGCAGTGCATGGCTAATGAGGAAGTAGGAGGTGGTAGAGTATTGAGGTGGAAAGCATATGGCTTTAGAGTCAACCAACCCACGGATCAACCACTTGCTAGCTAAGTGTACAAATTTTTTTAATGTTCCAAGCCCATTTATAAAATGGATGTGTTTTACCTTGTAGACTTAGCAAGGAAAGTAATTAACCCAATGCCTAGAGCATGGTAATTATTCAATAAAGAACTCTTTTTGCCATCATTATGATAGGACACTCACTGACAGGTGCCATAGAAAGGATAATTTAAAAAGGTGTTTTATTTTTATCTTTTTCTTTCATCATATTCTAAATATGATCCTGAATCCTAGTCGTTTATTGTAATATAAACATGCTTAAATACTAAATTAGCCTTGTTTGCTTGTTTGTTTTTATAATTTTCTAGCCATGGTAGAAGGAGCCTCTCAGCTGAACATGGTTGGCCTCTTTCGAAGAATAATTTCTAAAGAAGGAGTACCAGGACTTTACAGAGGCATCACCCCAAACTTCATGAAGGTGCTCCCTGCTGTAGGCATCAGTTATGTGGTGTATGAAAATATGAAGCAAACTTTAGGAGTAACTCAGAAATGACAAGTTGAAGTTTTTGCTTTAGCATGCTTGTGGAAATTCTCAACTATCTCTAAGTGACTTCTACAATTGTGATGAATCTCTGGCAAAAGAAGCAGTATATATATATTTTTTTTTCACAGAAGTATATCAGTGATCGCTAAATTGTTTGGGCTCAATTTTATGTATACAAAATATTAAAAATCATGGTTTTATTAAGTTTTGAGAAAGCCACAAAATTGAACTTTGTGTTTTCTGATTAGTCCTTCTGCAGATCTGTGCCCTGAATCCTAAATCTGAATATGTACTCACTTGAGCTAAATTTGTTTTGCATGGTAGAATTATAAATCACTAATCTTCATTCTGGTTGATTCAAATTTATGCTAATTCCTTTATTCCTAAATGTCTTTTAGAAATGATCAGAAAACCTTATGACTTATTTTTTTTTTTTTTTTACATTTTAGATGTCTTTATAGACTTAAACTTTTCTCATGGAACCATTAATAGAAAATCATTGTATTTGCAGTGTATTTTATAGCATTTAAATAAATATAGGGTTTGTTTGCCAATCTTTCTTTCAGACAGAAATCAGAGTAGAAATGGACATGAGTGGCAGAATGTGTAAGGAGGAGCAATGAAATAATATTTATTTCAGTAGGCACATTTCCATTTTACTTACACTGTTATTTGGTTCCTGGGATTATACTCTGATTGGCATATAAAACTGTTAAATTATCAACAGGAAACAATTTATTTTAAAGATTCTATTTATTCTGTCATAGCATTGAAAAACATCAGGGAGATGAATGCATTTTTCTTACACCAGTTTCTGAAGAGCATCTCTATTTTGTTTCTCCTTTGTTTTCTACTTTTTCAATCAGATTCTGTTTATCAGGAAGGCTTCTAGGGACCATTCTTAGTAATCTGGAATTTCTTAATGACATGAAGTGAGGTGATCAAGGGTCAATGACATGCTCATTTCCTCTTTACCGATGAATATTTTTGAACCAGCCATTCTCAGTTTGGGTAGCACAAAGCTAAAAGAATTCATATTAGTATGTATTAATCTTACATATGAGATACTTATATTTATGTAAAAGACAATTTGTAAGCATTTACATCCATATTTTCATTTGGAACATGGTAGAAAGTTTTGGAACATGATGGAAAACTTACTTTATAATATTGGTAACATTCTAAAATCTCACTAAAGCCATTTTTTGTAGTCAACTTTTATGATTTGTGTGATTAGAACTTGAAGTTATTTTTAATATTTTTTCATTGAGTTCCTAGATTCACTTGATTTCTAGTAATTTCTGTTGTAAATTGACAGCAGTTTCATTGAAAATCTAGTGAAATAATAGGTATTTACGTTATTTGAATCTACCTCTTTTATTATTTGAACCAAAGAGAAACATGGACTTGTGTTTGTGTGACAAACTCTAAAATACAGTTTATTTACTTATGCCTGATAAATGTCTCAATATTTTCAGACTGTACTATAAGTATCGCACTCTGTCTTCAGGTTTATTTGTACTTTTGAGTGATACATAAAATGCAATATTAAGGTACATGATTAGTTCTTTTTTACTCATAAAACTGTGGAAATGAATGGTTTCATTATCATTTTTGATATTTCAAGTTGGTGAAGAATATGAAAATATTTATATTATACTTCATTGTGAATTTGAATTGTTCCATGCTGAACATTTGTAAGGTATGAATGGTAAGATATTTGCACATCTTGTATCTTTTGAAAAAATGATTTTGTATCTTTTGGAAAAAGCCCCCAGTTAAAGATAGCTTATTTCTGGCAATACTGCATTTTACTTTCCATTTATATTAAAAAAAAAATCTTTATATTTAACATGACTTGTTTCCTAATTTTTAAAATAACTTATAAATAAAGCAAAAAATATCTGTGTCGAAGAGCTTATATCCATGGCTGTGGTTTGAATAATGATTTTCACATGGGGCACTACATTGTCATTCTAAATATTTTGACCTTTCCTGAGCAAGCATAGTAGTCATTGTCTGTATCATGCATTTGCCATAATGCGATTTTTTTGGGTTTTTGTTACATCCAAACCGCACATTCATCAGTTAGAGTTATAGGAGGGATGAGACTGACTGTTCACTGTGCCAAGAGGAATCAAGGTCACAGGTTAAGCTTGGCCCAGCTAGATGTGGAGTGTGTGTGTTGAAATCGTGACCAAAAAAAAAAAAAATTAAGTTTACTGGTAAGTCATTTTAAAATGCAAATTAACAAGGAAGTAAAAAATTCTATTTAGAATAAGACTGTAGAGAAAGTCTGCATTCCAACCCCAGGGCTATTCAGACTCCAGAAATCATGTCTTCCTCTGCCCTATTGAATATGCTGCCAAATTTGTTTGTAGCCTGTTCGTCTTCTCTTCCCATCAAGAGAGAAGCACATGATCAGGGATTGTGTTTTACAGTAATTGGTTCATAGTGTGGCATGGTTTCCTCATCCCTGAACAGAAATTTTGCCAGCCCCTTTGTCCTCAGGGAATTCTTTATTGGAGAAGAGCACCCGAAGAGCATTGATAGCAGGTACCAGCATCCTTCCTCTGGCTCCTTTGCCTCATTCCCCTGGGAAAAGCGCGGACCACTGGAGTGAGGGCCAAAGCTCTGGGGAGCAACCCCAGCCCCTTGGCTCATTCCTGTCTCCTGGTCCCCTCAGGACTGAGCTGAGCTGCTGCTCTCCAACCACACACAGTGTGAATGAAAGCAGGTTCACAGCCCGCTGGGAATTCAGGAGGGAGGCAGGTGGGCGGTGAATGTTGGAGTGCTTCTGACCTCTTCGTTCGGGCAGTTTATGCATTTGCTCCTTCATACTAACTCATTGTTTCTTTCGGTGAATATTCAGCACCTACTGTGTGCCAGCCACTCTTAGGGATTGAGAACCAGCACTGAGTAAATGACCCACCACCTCTGGTCCCGGAGGTTATTTAGTGGGGAGACACAGACAGTAAACAAAGGGAATAGAATAGGTCGCGTTCCTATGGGATAAACACAGGAGGCGGTGCCAGGGTAGCACGCCCCAGCCCAACCCATTCAAAAGCTAGAGAAGATCCCGCTGAGAAGATGCTTAGTGAAAAGGGTTCTTGGGGGCCTCTCTGGGGTCTAGGAAGAGCATCCAGGAGGACAGAGGGAATGCTGTTGCGATGGGTGAAGGTGGGAGAAACACCAAGGAGGCCAGGCGGGTTGGCTGGAGGGGAGGGGAAGAAGCAAAGAGGATATCCAGGAAGGCATATTAACTGTGCATTCCTCCTTTGGATTTCTAGTTCTGCCATAGCAGCAGTTCCTTGGGGATGTTCCCTAAATAAGATTCAAATATCTCTCTTCTGGGAATGGAAGTTTCATTATTGGAAACTTTGGAAATCATCATTTATGGTGACCATCATTTCTAGCATAGCCAGAATAGTTTTTCTATTGCTGTCCCAACATGTTGGCCCATTCCCAGGCAACATATTTATTGGCCTCTCCTTATCCTGGGAGAGTTTTAATTTTAAAAAAAAGAGAATTAACTTAGAGACCTTAGAAATCTAAAAATATTTTTCTAAGAATTACAGAGAATTTTAATATTAGCAAACTAACAGGGATACAGTTGTCCTCACTTCCCCCCCTGGTTGCCTTCTCTTTAGCTAGGGTTTGTTTGTCTTTACACATGTTTTGCAGTGTTGTAAACAATCATTTTATTTATTTTTTAGTGGTTGATATTGTCCTGTTTTTAATTTACTTGCTCAAAGTCAGATAACAATAGCAAACAAGTGCTTTGTGTTTTGTTGTTCCTGAAAGAGGGGCTGGTCTGTTCAGGGATTTTAAAGTGTTCTAAACTACCTAAACACATCTCAGAACGCTGGCATTCCCTAGCAGCCAAGTCTTGCAAGAAGAGTGTTCCGTCATCTGTCATCTCCACACTGGTTGGTTTTCCAGCACAGTCTCTGCCACAGTTCAGGATGAATTAGTTGGAACCCCATCATCCTTAATGTCGACTGTGGACATGCACCACTCAGTCTTGGCCACCTTGTAGGTGGTCCCACATGAATCTTGGGAGTATCAGCTGGTATGTGCAAAAACATGACATTTCCTTATTTCCTTTAAGTCAACTAAAATACAGATGGAAGCTCCTATACTACTCAGTGTTGTGCTGGTGACTGGGTCCTGGCCCCTCTGGACACTGGTCCTGGTTCTCATTAGTCACTTCCAAGGGGCCCTTTATTCCATCCTGCCTGGTCCCTGGTTCCAGCAGTTGTACATGCCTGGCAGGGAATAGTTGGGAAGATGGGGCGCATCTGACCTTGGGTCTGGCCTTTCCATTCTGAAAGGGTGAGGAATTGAATAGCACCCACTAACCTTTGCCTCCTTCCCAACTGCTAGGCTCGCCCCCTTTTCCTGTTGATATCAAGAGCACTTTTCTGCCTTCTCTCTAGGACCTCTCTGAAGGCAGCTTAATTTTCAAAAGACACAAGAGCTTCTGATCTAAAGTGCCTTCTGTTTTCTACTTTTAAAAATCACTGAGGGAAGGAAATGCTAAAGGCTTGAATCCTTGCTTGAAATGAGATGAAAGGGAAAACACAAGGGGAGCTAAATACTAATTAGTGTTTCACTAGGTTATCTTGCCATAGGCACTTAAACTGCTGTGTCTCTTAGGTGGAAGCTCTGCACATGGACGTGGTTGTTTGTTTCATCTGTTTTAACACAACACACCATTCTACCTACTGAGTCTCCAAATTCCCCAAACGTTGTTGATATATGGCAATGTAGTTTCATGGCTGAACAGTTCAATAAACAGCACCTAGGATGAAAAATCAACTGTATAATTGAAAGTTGACACTTTTCAAGGGCTTAGGGAGGAGGTGGGATATGTAGGAGAAGGCAAAATTAGTTGTAATGTAGAAAGATACATTATAATTTAATTATATTTAATTAAAGATAATTTATAGTCTAGAACTATTTCTAAATCTTCTCTATTTGATGGTTTGCCTATTCTGGACTGCTTACTTCCCCATTTTATCCTAGATTCTTGTCTCAGGGTCTGTTTCAGAGAGAACCCAAACTAAGACTGTCCACCAGAGATAGATCTGGGTATAACAGAAGTATTTTATTTAGAGATTACAAAGGAAAATGCCAAAAGCAGCAGCCAAACAAACTGCAAGTGGAAAGTAAGACTGGAAGTGGGAAAGTGTGAAACAGGGGACTGTGCCTCCAAATGATACTTGTATGGGTGCTACTTTAAATGAAAAAAAAAAAAAAACAATCTTTCAAACATAAAACAAAGTGGGATAATATGACAAATAAAAGAAAAGTACAGAAATAGATCTAAGGGGCTACCTCCTTAATTTTATCTGAATGTCAATCATTTTCAAAAGACCACCATAAACTAGAGTGGATTATTACATGGGTCTGAACAAATGGAAAATATTCTTAGTACAGAATTGTATGATGAGGTGGAGTATATGTCCCACCCTGAATTTTGTCATAGTATAGGACAAAGCACACAGAACACATTGATGATTACTGTAGAAATGAGAAGGGATTTGTGAAATAAAACACTTAGCATTTTACATGACACTTATGAAGTGACACAGCACTACTGCACAATTTTAATTAGGAGGACCTTTCACGTCTCAGCCTTGAATGTAAGTGGTAGTTGAATATTTTCCTGCTTGTCTGCCCTGACTTCAATGGAAACTTCAGCCCATGACCAGAAAAACTGTTTATAGAAACATATCTTTTAAAAATTATTTTAAGCTGACATACAGTGATTATACATATTTATGCGGTACAATGTGGTTTTTAATACATGTATAGAAGCATTGGATGCCCATGGGGCCATGCCATCAAATTCCCATTATAAGTCCTTAAGCACACAAATCAAGGTCCTCTATCAGTGATCTGGCAGAGAAAATCTTCAAGGATGAAGCTTACCTTGCATGGAAAAAACAATTCCAAATAGCATTAAAAGCCAAGTGCAGGTCATCTAAAATGAATGAATGAATGAATGAATGAATGAATAAAGAAAGAAAGAAAGAGAATGAATAAATAAATAAAAGGGACCGTCAGTGGCCACAATTTCCCACTAGGTGGCAGACTTCTCCCAGCTACCTCTTCAGTCATTGGGTTCTGGGAGGAATGCACAGCTTCATAGCTTTGCTTTCTCCCTTAGCCTTGACCTGGAAAATCACTGGGCTACCTCTGAGGCCAGATTTAGATTTCTTGCACAAACCATCCCTACCTTGTTTAGAGGAGTGAAACTAGGGACAGTGACAAAGAAGGCCCTTTATAGGTAAGGCTAAGAGAAGGGCTTGTTCTTAACTTTTTTAGACATTTTTCAAAAATAGAAAAATTCCATATTTTGCAAGTCAAATTAGAAATGTTTGAAAGAACGAGTACGACTGTTCATATACAGAGTCATAGGTAAATATTCAGATATGAAAATAGTAGCTGTAGAAAATATTTTGGGATATTTGTTTTCATCGTGGGATGAATAATTTTTCATTTGCTTAAAATAATTTGAGAAGTGTCATCATAGCTCAAATTTGTGGTACAGAGTGGTGAAGTAAGGGCTAAAATAAAATAAAAACAAGTAACAAAATGCACCACAAAATTTAGTGTTTTAGTCCCTCTTAGGGAGTTTTCTACAAGAGTTGTTACTATTGTTTTGTGGGGTGCTCTTTACCCAGTCTATGAGCTATTGGTCTGTTTGCTTATCTCCCATCCAGTGGCAGGAGCCCAGAAGAGGAGCCTGAGGCTGGTCTCCTTCACCTCCTCTGCCTCTCATTTCCTTTTTCCTCTCACCCATGGCTCTGTGAGCTGTTTTCAGTCACCATCCTCTATTTCCTA